TGTGGTGTGTGAGTGTGCGTGTGTGTGTGTGTGTGTGTGTGTGTGTGTGTGTGTGTCTGTGTCTGTGTCTGTGTCTGTGTCTGTGTCTTTGTGTGTGCTGTTGGGGATAAAACCCAGGGCCTCACACATGCCAGGCAAGTGACCTACCACTGAGCTTTATATCCAATCTTTAATAAAAAAGTAAGCGTCTCACTGAGTTGGTTGCCTTGAATTCAGGATGTTCCTGCCTTCACTGCCTCCTGAGTAGCTGGGACCACAGGTCTGCAGCACCAAGTCTGGCTTGTTGTGATTTCACCACTGAACTGTATTTTTTGTTTTTTTGTTTGTTTGTTTTAAAAAAGGCAGTCTGGAGCCTGGTACTTCTTCCACAGATGGATCTAAGAATAAAACATCTGGTGGTCATGGGATACACAGCCAAGACTTGCAGGGACACGGAAAAGAACTTAATCATCTTGTTTCTGTGCGAGTCCTGAGCATCTTTTGCTCCTTAGGATGGGCAGGAGGAACAAAGTTCCAAACAATGGAAAACTACATAAAGTACTACATTCCTGTCCTTTAAACCCCCTAAATTTAAGAGTAAACAATCTTCAGAAGAGTCATTAAGTACATGAAGGGGCAACTGGGTGGGGTGCTTAGCTGAGATAAACGGCAGTGTTCTCAGTGCTGGGTTTTGAATTAGCCCGTGAGAGGTATGGTCTCAAAGCAGCAGCTGCACGTCTCACATCTGCTGACTTGGAGGAAGTCGATGAAAAATAAACAGAGCGGCCGAGCCATGCCCTTGGCTGAGGCTCAGAAGTGGCCTGATAGATGACTTCTCTCAGGGCACATTTGATGGCAGAGGCAGCCAAGGAAGATCAAGGAATGTTGGTGGACATCAGAGGGAAAGGGCCATTTATTAGTGTCCTTCGTAGAAGACACGTGGTCATCATTCCTTAGCATGACCTTTCACCAGAGATTATGGGAATCAGAAAACTGGACAGATGGAGAGCCAATGCCAGGTCAGCACTGCAGAAGGGCATGGGAGCAGGGTAGGAGTTAGAGCGTTAGCACCGCTTAATGGGTATGAACTCTGCCCTGGAATGAGATAGCTCTGAATTCGAATCTGGACTCTTGATACTTAACAGCTGTGTGATGGTAGACCAGTTGTTTTAAACTAAATGACAACAAAAACCTTCAGCACTGGTTTGTCACCGAATCCCGTGAATTGCACCCTTCACATACTGTTCAATATGGAATTCAGAAGAGTGGGGCATGTACCAGCCAGGACTTCTTTAGCTGAAAGTGTCAAAAATCCCACAGGAGCTTACACAAGAAGAAATTATGATCTACCATAAATAAATAACAGACAATATAGATTTCAGACCCAGCTGGACCCAGGAGCTCAAGAGATGCACCAAGATTCAAACCCAGCCTCTCTATCTCTTGAACTCCATTTCCTCTACGTTGGGGTGATCCTCAGGCAGAGCCTTGTGTCAAGGTGACTCTCAGGAGTTGTGGGATGTTTCCTCTCTTCTTGATAATCCCAGTGAATAGAGAACTTTCTCAAGTGCTCTGGCCAAGGTCCTCAGGCTGACTCTGATTTGCCCAACCTGGTCACATGCCCTTAAGTCCCAGACTCTGGACATGCTGTGGCCCCACCTGAACCGAAGAGTCTGTGAAGCCTCAAAGAAGAATCACCAGGTGTAATTGTGAGGCAGAGAGAGGCTGCTGGGTGGACAACAATAACCAAGGTCCATCACTGTGGCCTTCAAGGTGACCGCTAATGAGTCAACAGATGCAGTATCAAGCGGGGACAAAATGGTCCAGCATAATGAAGGAGGGGTTTTCTGGGGAGCCAGTTGGTCTGTCTTCCTCATCATCATAGTCCCCGGGTTGGTCAAAGCACATGAGAACAGAGCCCATGTCCTCATCTCACAAGGCACAGCTTCCCGAGTCTCCTGTTTCTTTCTGCGGGACCTCAAGTCACCAGACATGGATTGCTGGATCTGTGAAGTTCCTCTGTCTCAATTTGTCAAAATATACTGTGTATTTCGCTGGTTTCCACAGATTCAAGAATGACATGATTCCCCCTTCCCAATGTCCTTCCTCTGGTGGTGAATGCTGTCATCTATCCTAGGGACACTGCAATCAAATGTTGCCCAGCCTCTTGACCTGCCTCCCATCCTTGCCTGGGTTTGTGATCTCCACTCTTCAGAGCCTTGCTTGTCAGGAGTCAGTCACAGGAAAAGCAGCTTTGTGATTTTGCCAAACTGTCAAACCATCTTACTGAGGAGTTACTTCATATTTCAATTCAGATTACTTCTTTTTGATTTAAGGAAATTAATTCAGGAAGGAATGTTCTATCACCACCACATGAGGAAAGCTAGCCTTATTTGCCATAAATTAAAAAAAAATTAATGTATAATTAAGGCCAGTGAACAATGTCACAAAGCCCTAGCTGGACTTAGAGGTCTGCCCAGGGCCCAGCCGCCGTCTGCTCTCCCTGGGCACAGAGAGGGTGGCGCCAGTGGAAAGTTGTTGAAGATGTGTCCAGTATTCTCTGGGCACAGCTGCAAGGGCAGGAAAGGAAAAGCCTTCCTTGCCCATGTGTCAGTTGTGGGTGTCAGCCCTGGACACGTCTATCGTGATGTGTCTAGGTCACTATAAAGACCGGTTAAAGTGCTGCCTCCCCTCAGGGCCAGCTAGCCTCTGCTCTGCCCTCCCCTTCGATCATGGGATGTCTTTTATCTTACCCCATGGTTTGCAGCCCCTAAACTTTCTTATCTCGGGGAGAGTGAAGACCCAGCCAGGGCTCACTCCAGGCTGGGGTTTGGTTCAGTCCCCACCCACGGGACGTGCCAGTGAAGCTAGCTGGCTGCCAGCTCCCACGGCTGCACAGGCATCTGGCGTCTGAGCGTCACAGGAACGTGCCCCCTTGTCTCCTCTTTTTGGTTGACTATGTATTTGATATCTCCAGTCAACCCCCAATCCAAGGGTTGTTTTCTTTCATAGAAGATGAATATTTGATAGTAATGGTTATGACCGCTCATATTCACCCGTTGAAACCTTAACTCCCAAGATGACGGCCTTAGGAGGTGGGGCCTTGGGGGTGACAAGGTCATGAGGGCGGAGCCTTCATGAATGGGATTAGAGAGCACCTTGCCTCTCTCACCACAACCTGCCACTGGAGAAGCACAATCCATGAATTCCAAATGGAGCCCTTGCCGGATGTGGAGCCTGCTGGTCCCTCAAACTGAAGCTCCAAGACCCCAGAACTGTCTGTGAGCAGGACGTTTCTGTGCGTACGTGTCCCCAGGCTACAGTGTCTGGCTACGTACAGCAGCCCAAAACAACTAATCCTCAGCTGGACTCCTTGAAGGCTAGGGCTTCTGGAGCCTTGCTTGCCCCGTGTTAGGGACTGAGGTTGGCTGTGAGGCCTCAGTTTATCTCCTTGTAGGATTCTTCTCCACCTGGCTAGTTTAGGCTTCCTCCTGGCCTGGCAGCTGTGTTCTGAGGTGTGACACGTACCCTGAGGGAGGCCCCTTGTGGCACTTTTCACGGCTTGTGTCAGAAGCCACTTAGGTCTTTGCTCAATCAGTCGGTCTTTAGGAATTTCGGGGGGACAGGGATGGCCTTGAAACCCACCTTTCACGATAGGAGGGTCAAAGGCTTGAGGACCCTTCAAACAACCAGTTTCCTGACAAATAAGCCTGTGGGGGCTCTGAGGTGTGTATCTTGGAGACTGGGAAGGCTTCCGGACCTGAAACGCTATGAGGCTAGTAAGGGGTTCGGGGGTGGGGGCATGGCCACCTGTAACCGCGGTGAAGGATGAGGGGGCGTGGCTTCTGGGGAGAGGCACCTGCCGGCCGCTGAAGGACCCTCCCTCCTGTCCAGTGCAGGGCAGTGAGGGGATGGGACTTCCCGGGACCGCTAACTCTCTGGACTCTTTGTGACTTCGCTCTGGTCCACTGCCCCACCTGCCACCTCGAACTTCTTACAGAGGCAGGGAGCACCCATGAGTCACAGGTGTAAAAGACACGGAGCACCTCGACTAGCAGCCCTCAGGAAAGGTAAGGCCTAAGGGTGAGCATCGAGAACGGTTTCTTTCCTTTAGACTCTGCGATTTAAGACTAACAAGCAAGGGGAAAAGGAAAAAAAAAGCTAGCCTTCCCTGCGGCCTTTCCACGGTCTCAGTGCTCCTGGGGAGCCGGGGAGGGGGCTGCAAGCGTGAGTGGGGTGTGTGTGCGGTGTGCACACGGGACCGAGGGTGGCCTTCTGGCAGCTGTTCGGGCCCCCACCCCACCCCACCCCCCCACCCTACCCCCCCCCCCCACAG